AGAGCTAAGGTATCCTATAGCTGAGAAAGCAGCATTAGCAGTCGTCACTTCGGCCAGGAAGTTGAGGCCATATTTCCAGTCACACCCAATTATAGTTCTCACCGATCAACCTCTCAGGCAGATTCTACAGAAACCAGAATGCTCTAGAAGATTAATTAAGTGGGCAGTAGAACTGGGAGAGTTTGAGATAACATTCCAGCAGAGATCGGCCATCCGAGCTCAAGCATTAGCAGATTTTATTGTCGAATGCACTCCATGTCCTTCAACCTCTAATCCAGAGCCCAACGACTGGACTCTATATGTTGACGGAGCATCTAGTAGCAAGGGTTCAGGGGCTGGTGCTCTCTTGATTGGTCCAAAGGGATACCGAAGCGAACATGCCCTGAAGTTCAATTTCGATGCAACAAACAACATGGCTGAATATGAAGCTTTACTACTTGGTCTACAGCTCGCACTAGAGTTGAAAATCAGTGCAATTCAAGTATATAGTGACTCTCAGCTGGTGGTGAACCAAATCAACTCCATTTGCGAAGTCGTTGATCCTGTAATGGTAAAGTATGTAGCTTTAGTGGCCGAGCTGAAGTGCAAATTTCAGAAATTCTGTCTAAGCAAAATCCCCCGAACTGAGAATGAACAGGCAGATTCACTCTCTAAATTCGCCTCTGATAGTTCTTCATGTTCCAGATCAGTTTTTGTGGAGGTCTTAGATGAACCAAGCTTCATAAAGCCACGGGTGATGGAGATCAGCCCCGACCCAGCCACACCAAGCTGGACTGACCCAATCCTCTTTTTCTTACGAGACGGGACAGTGCCTGAGGACAGGCAGGAGGCAATGAAGTTGAGGAGGAAAGCATCTCGGTATACACTTGTTGATGGGGTCCTCTATAAGCGATCTTTCTCTCTACCTCTTTTACGGTGCTTGAATCCCTATGAAGCAGAATATGCACTCAGGGAGGTGCATGAAGGTGTCTGCGGAAGTCATGTGGGTGCTCGAACTTTGGCTCATAAAGTCCTTAGACAGGGTTATTATTGGCCCAACATGTACAAAGATGCCACTCACTTTGTTCAGAAATGTCCGAGGTGCCAATTCTTTGCACATCTGACCCACCAACCTGCAGAAGAACTCACGACCTTGGTAGCACCATGGCCATTTGCACAGTGGGGACTAGATCTTTTGGGTCCATTTGTGAAAGGGGTTGGTGGTGTAACCCATCTGATTGTTGGTGTGGATTATTTCACGAAGTGGGTTGAAGCTCGGCCTTTATCTAGTCTTACCTCTAAAAAGGTCGAAGATTTTGTTTTCAGTTCGATCATCTGCAGATACGGGATCCCAAATCAGATTGTGGCTGATAATGGAACTCAATTCAATTGCTCCTCATTTCGAGATTTCTGCTCCAGTTATGGGATCAAGTTACAGTTCACCTCCGTTTACCATCCGGAGTCCAATGGCATGGTTGAATCTGTTAATAAATGCATTTTGGAAGGTATAAGGCCGAGATTGGAGCAGCATAAGGCCAAGTGGGCAGACGAGCTCAACAACGTCCTCTGGGCATACAGAACCACGAGTCGAACTGCCACAGGTACTACTTTAAACCAAATCTATTTGATTAATTTCTACATCATTTTACTTCTTCTGTTACGCATTACCTTAGAGCAAATGTGCATAACGCGTAAAGCGCATTCTAAAGTTATAATTAACTGAAATAGGTGAAACACCCTACCACCTGGCCTTTGGTACCGAAGCAGTCATTCCTGTTGAGATAGGAGTCCTAAGCTTCCGGGTCACCCATTTCGATGAAGAACGAAATGGACAACTGCTTGGGGAAAACCTTGATCTGCTTGCCGAAGTCAGAGAAGAAGCTCGGCTTCGAACTCTTGTATACAAGCAGAAGCTAGCCAACTTCTACAATAAACGGGTCCGCCCTCGCACATTCAAAATAGGAGACCTTGTTCTCAGGAAAGCTGGCCTAACAGGGTTTGAAACTCGTTTTGGCAAACTTGCCCCAAATTGGGAAGGTCCTTATGCCGTGGCCGAAGTGCCACATCCTGGTGCCTATATTCTCCAAGACGCTGAAGGAAAAAGAGTTCCTAGAGTCTGGAATGTTAATAACTTGAAAAAATTTTACCCCTAGTGGAATTCTTTCAAGAGATCTGTCTTACAGTTCTTATTTCATGATTGTCGAGATTCATTTTACCTCTTACTCTATGTATCCGAGGTGAATCAGTACTTAAATCTCACTTCTGATTAATAAAAGTTACTTCACATGTGAAGTACTTTATTTCCTTTTAAGTTCGTTCACAATGATATGCTCATTCCCAATCTACATGGAAGTTATTTACTTCTTCTTACTTTGTCTGAAGTGACTTACTTCACTTTAGTTCATTTCTGAAATGGTTGCCTTTCATCCAAATCGCAATCTCAGTTCTTTTATTAATAAAACATAATACCAAAAATAAAGACATGATTTCAAATATAAATTTTCATTTCAATTAAAATAAAGATTACAAGCTATAAATGTCTTTACAAAAATTAAAAAATTAAAAACAAACAAATTATTCTTCTGGGAGAGGTGGCTCCACTGGCTCCTGTTCAGCTAGAAGAGGTGGCTGTGTTGGCTGCTGCTCGTCTGGCAGAGGAGGCTCCTCATCGTCAGAAGGAACTGGATGAATTTCACTTCTGGAATTGGTTGACTATCACCCACTCCAGCTCCTTCTACTCTTGCCTCCACTTCGTTTTCCTCTACCTCTGCTTCTTCTTCCTCCACTGCAAGGAACTCGAAGTCGAACTGTGAAGGAAAAACAGCAAGATCGTCTGCATCATCCTCCCACCTCAGTTTGATCTGAGGACGGAAGTCTGCTGACATGCTCTCACCATCTTCCTCCACTCCTTCTTCTTGCTCACCGAAGGTGACCTTTGTCACATCCACTTCGGGATATGCAGCCTTCACCTTCTTCCTGCAGTCCGTGAAAGCGATGATGGCAGTGGGCAGCCGGTATAAGTTGACAATGCTGTCAAACCAGCTGGAACTGAGGAAGTTGCTGATGTGTTCCTTCATTCCATTATGCACCAACTTCTGCATGTTCCCTTTCAGCTCCTTGAATGCCTCCGTCATCAGCCTTATTTCTTGCGCCTGAGCCTCACGCTCGCTTTCAGAGATCCTTCGTTTGCTCTCCTCAAAGACGAGCTTGGTGCTTAGGGAAGACCTCTCCTGCTCCAACTGCTTCATAGCTAGAACCACCTCGTTCAGAGACTCTTGCAGCTCCTTATTCTTTTTCTCCAACTCTTCCTTCTCCTTCTGCAGCTGGTCTCGTTGCCTCTGCAAGAGTGCGCGCTCCTTGACACTCTCCCTAAACTCCTGGGCTAGACCATTCACCCAGCTCGCGCTCTGCAAATCAAAGCAGAAGTTTAAAGAGAAAGAAGAGAAGGACAAACAGAGTAAATAAACAGCAGCACTAACTTAACGTACCTCAAGGACGTGCTTCACAACGGATGCTCCCCCGTACCTCAGAACTTCCTCCCGCGCGTTGCGCTTGTCCACTTCAGGGAAGGTGCTGTTGATAAACCACCTAGCCCCCATTACGTTCTTCGCCTCGAACAGGCTACTCTGAGGCACCGCCGGGGTAACAGGGCCCTTTCCCTTACCAGGAGCTCGTACCTCAGCCCCCTCCTCCAACCGTCTGAGCTCAGGGTTCAGCTCAACAGGAGGAGGCTGAGGTACGAACTCAGGCACCCCACTCCCCTCTTCCTCCACCACCTTCTTCTTCTTCTCTAGTGCCCTCCTCTCCTCCCAACCCTTCCTCTTCAACTGTGGCACATCCTCCCCCGTCTCAGCTGAAGCAGTAGGCACTACCTCCTTCCTAGCCCTCCCCTCATCCACTTGCTTGGTTGAAGTCCTTGACTTCATCCTTGGCTTCTTGGGGATAGCCTTTCCTCCAGCAGTATTCAAAAATTGATCCATTTCAGCTGCAAAGCAAGAAACACAATATTAGTTATAATTCTATGTTCTACATTTAACGCTACAGTATATGTCAAACAAACCTTCACTCAGAGCGCTTGGCCCATAGAGCTCAGCAGCCTCTATGCATGCTGCGCTGGTGAGGTCAATGATATTCAACACCTCTCCCCCCTTCCTCACCAACTTCCCCACTTCTTCCTCCTCATCCTCATTCAAGCTAAATTTATTTTGGTTGGCCCTTTTGGCCTTCCAAGAGGCTAACGCCCTCACCTCGGCATCCCTCTTCCCCCACTCCGTGTCATCCACAAAAAAGAATTTTTTCTTCCATCCCTTAATGGATGAAGGACCCGCCGTAAATAAAATCCTACTCTCCTTCTTAGCTACCCTAGGGGTGAAATAATACCACCCCTTATCCCTCCTACTTCCTCCCTTCAAAACAAAAAAATACTTAAACATATTTACGGTTGGCACACTAATCCCCTGAGCTCGGCAATAAACTAAAAAACCTATTATTACCCTCATTGCGTTGGGGACCAACTGTGTCAACCCTATGTTGTAATTTAATAGCAAACCTATTAGCAACTCAGGAAGTGGAAACCTGAGTCCCACTATCAAATAGTGGGAATACACAGGCATCCAGTGATCCCGAGGAGCAGAACACGCCCTCTCCTCTACCCCAGCTGGCCTAACTAACACCCGAGAAGAGATCTCGTACGTTTCTACTAAGTGACACAGGTCATCCCTGGTCCTTAGTTCAGATCGGTACTGCTTTACCTCCTCCACTATCTCGGCACTCTCATCATAACCTCTCTCCCCGCTACCTTCTACTTCTACTACAGTGATGGGTATGTTATCTCCCTCAACCCCTACCACCTCGTTCCTCCCAACTTCCACCATCTCATCCCCTCTCACCCCTTCAACCGTCTTCTCTGAACTAGAGGGAGACGGACTACTCTCTGAGTCCATACCCCCATAGTCCAGAGGCATCACCTCACTCCCTACTACACTTCCTGTCCTTTCTGAAGACATTTTCTCAAACTCTGCACGAAGTAGGGGGGAGGAATGAAGTCAGGACTCATAAAAAAAAAAAAAACCCCTTCATTACACATTCAAAACCCTTCTCATCTCTAACCCTAACGTCCTTCAGAGGACTCTAAATCAATCACAGAAAGGGAGAAAGGAGAAAGACACTTCGAGTAACTCAAAAATCAGAAGTTCGTCTACATTACCTGATTTTGGTTTCGAAAGACTTGATTTAGAATTCCCCAGTTGATGCTGCAGTTCACGTACAGGAAACGCTCGGTAAAGCTTCTCGCAGAAGTTTTGCAGGAAAAGAAATGCAAGTAAACTTCTTTCTGCAGAAAAAATGCCTATTTATATTTCTGGGCAAAATTAGATCTCAACGGCTGAGATTCATTTAATCTTACGATTCCTGTTGACACCATTTGGAATTTGATGGATAATCCCATACGGTACCGTTTTGGGCTTCACGGTTCATATTTAAATTTGCCCGTTTAACTGTTGCAGTTATCTTTTTACGGCTGCATTTATTGCACACGTCATTTCAAGGACAACTGTCACACCATGTTGTCAGATTTTCCAAACGGACCCACTCACGCCCATTTCAACACCTTCGTTTACTTTTCTCAATTTTGTCAAGTGTTTCACTTCGGCTCCAGCCATAATAATGCTGCATTACATTTCACATCGACTTCGGCCACAGTGATCCTGTATCACACATTTTACTTCGGCTCCGGCCATTATGACTCCGGTCATCATATTTTATTACGGCTCCGGCCATTATGACTCCGGTCATCATATTTTATTACGGCTCCGGCCATTATGACTCCGATCATCATATTTTATTACGGCTCCGGCCATT